CCAGCTAGCTGCATTTTCAGCCAAGACAGTGGCAAATCTGGGGTTGAGACTGGGATTGAGGTGAGAGTTGGGGCCTTTGCTCAGTCCATGTGCCTAGCTTTAAGATATTTACCATCTCCAATCTTCTAACAGGTAGTTTTTCCCCCTCAGAATAATAGGACTCTGACCTGATTTCCAACACACTCCCCTCACCTTTTTTAAAAACTATTTTTGATAATCACTGTGATGTTAGGATCAAAAATATACTTCATCCCTAAATCCTGTACCCACACCTAACATTACCTTATACGTTCTTGTTTCAAAGCGGGAATAAAAGTGAAATTTGAAAGACAATGTCTTTTCAATGTATTGTTTTCTACAATTAGATCCTTTGATCAAATTTCCCACTTTTGGCCCTGCTTCTGCATACCACCACAGCCCCATACATCTGGAATTGTTTTTCTGCCCAATCTCAACCTGTCTACTCAGTTTCCTTATTGGCAGGACACCTGTGTCAGAACATGAGTAAAAAGCACTGCAGAAAACAGCCAACAAAATGAGTAGAGCTGCTAATAGAAAATGCCAAGCTGTCAATTCTATATCTGTAATTTTTTTTTTCTGGTACCGGGGATTGAACTCGGGACCTTGCGCTTGTGAGGCAGGCAGTGGAACCACTGAGCTAAATAAATCCCTGGCCCTCTATACACTTATTTTTAAGAATGAGTAGTTAAATAGTACAAATAAAACAAGTAAATCACTAACCACAAAAGTCTTCTAAACCTTGAATAAAATTAACCACACCATCTTCCTTCACCCATTAATTGCACCCTTTCATTCAGCTCCCCTTATATACCACTATATACTGGAGTTACAAAAATGACAAAAACAGAGTCTGTGACCTCAAGGACTTTACCTTCTCTCACAAAGACAGGCCAATAAACAAAACCATTGCAAGTCCAATGATTGTAATTCCACACTACACATAAATCCACCCAAATAAAAGCGATATAAACCAGACTAGATGGTTAAGAAGATCTCAAGCACCACTAAGAGCTTGCTTATATCTTAACACCCTCAAACTGTGTTGATTAGCAACCATTTAAACAACATTAAGATCACTTCAAGATCAATCAGAAGAAAGATCATTTTCCATTGCTGTTGATATTTCAGAGGCATCGCCCTTTGGTAGCAACACTGAGCCCCAAGTCTAGAGATCTCCTTCAGCCCTCTGCAGCTGTTTCTCCCCTGTCTTCCGACCACTTTCCTTTTCTCCACAGTTCCAGTTCTCCTCCTTCCAAATACATTGTGGGTAAAAGTCTACCTTGAAAGAAAGCATTTTTGAAAACAAATGCTAACCTTTCTGTTTTAGTATAGAGTTCGTAAGTTTGTGACCTTAGAAGTACCCCGCACACAAAAAGAGCCAACTAAACTATTTTTATTTCTACATTGCTTTAAGCTGGTTTTCTTTTATGCATCAACAGGCTTTCAAAAGAGGTCAAACTCTAGATCCAAAATGCTCAAAACATGGTTGAGTACAAAGGAAGATATTCCACTCATATGGCGAGGAGCCCAAGGTCAAGCAACAGCAGCTGGGAAAGAAAGCTGGGATCCTGGAGCCCTCACTGGCCCAGAGTCAGCTTCCAGCTTCCGCTCAGCCCACCTCTGACATAACCTGGAACTTATTTAACATATTAACTCCAGTGTGGTCAGAGCGAATTTTAAAATATTGAAGTGTTTCTCTCTTATTGGCAAATAGTGTCCGGGTCTCCCCAAACCTTCCCAGGATCCCTGCCCAATCTTACCATCAACTGTAAAACCAGGTCTAGCAGAAGGGTCTTCCAGTCCCTGTCCCAGGGCTAGACATAGCTTCCCACCTCCGAACATAAATCCATACCCATGCCCTAATTTGACTCCCTTGGCTGCTCTGCACTACGATTGAAGCTATATCAAATTATTTATCCCTAAGGACAAGGACAAAATGAGAACACAAACTGAAAAAAGAGAGATGAAATTGTGCCTCTCTCTCTCTCTCTCTCTCTCTCTCCTCCCTCCCTCTCTTTGTACTGGAGATTGAACCCAGGGCTGCCACACTGACCCACATCCCCAGCCTTTATTATTATTGTTGTTATTATAATTATTATTATTATTAGTTTTAATTTTGAGAAGGTTTTGTTAAGTTGCCAAGGCTGGGCTCAAACTTTTGATCCTTCTGTCTCAGCCTCCAATAGTCCTGGGAAACACAGCTGCAGGCTGCCTTTTTCTAGAGAGGGGAGAAATGTCAGACAGAAGTCCTGGATGAGGCTGCCTGCAGTGGAATCCCCACTCTGGCATGAGCTAGTTGTGTGATCTCAAACTGCCTCACCTATAAAACAGGGCTTATAAGATTACCTACTTCACAGGGTTGCTTTGAACATTAAACGTTCATATTTGTAAAATGCTTAAATAGTGCCTGGCACAAAGTAAGCACCATACAACTGTTTATTAAATAAATAATTCATTTTAGTTCATCACTGTAATGTTTATTCAATGAGTTTTAAAAATTAAGAAAGTTTCACAACAGAAAAATAAAAAACCTGTGATAGTATGAGACAATTACATAACACACACTGCTGTTTAATAACACAGCACTAAAACATCTGGGGTCCAGATTTTACACTGCACTGAGAATGTAGGGAACTGATGCACTGGAATTCATTCCCACTGAAGTGTCAGACATGATCTGTATGATTCCTTTTCTAATCACAAATGTCACAGGCTTATAGAAAGCTAAAGTTACACATTTCTCATTTTAACCCTGCCTCAAATTGGAGCCACACCCTTGTAAGTATATTTTATTTTGTGGTGCTGACACTTAAGGGATTGTAAATACAAAACCAGGCCTTGCACACTACAGCTTTTCTCCTGAACACAATGACTCATCCTAACTGCATGTTTAAAGAGCCATATCTTATGTGCTGGGTCCTCCAGCATAGATCTTTAGTAAACACCTAGGGTGGACAGGAAATTGCTAGGTCCAGCAGCTGGCTTGATCAAAATTGCTTTTACTTAGCTAAAGAGGTACCACAACCTGCGTTCAATCATAACTTAAATAGGCCCCACTGCACTGCTAAAGGAGACAAAACTGATGTGTTGCTATTGTTGCTGTTAGCTATTCAGTGGAGGAACTATTAACAATTATTCCCTGTTCCTATCTTTTGATAGCTAAACCTCACATATAAATAGCTAGCCTCAAATATAAATTTAAATAGTTCCCAAACTGGCCATCAAATAGTAACGTATTAGAGGAGATAAAGTTTACTAAACATCATGTGGCTGTGGCTTTTCTACTCTCTTCCTTAAAAGTGCATTTCTCTAAAGCTAGAACAGGCTTAACCCTTACTTAGTGACAAAAATTAAAGCCCCCAATATAATTATTATTAAAATATTAAAACCCTGTAAGAAAGATAAAAAGACTTTTGTGGATAGATGGTGGAGATGATAGCATAACAATATTAATAGTTTTAATGCTACTAAGAATACAATTAAAAATGGTTTAGGATGGTAAATTTTATGCTATATGTATTTCACCACAGAAAAAGTAAAATAAACATTTTTTAAAACCTTGCAGAAATTAAAGTAAATGAATTTTTAACTATAATTTTAAATTAGGAAGCCCACTATATAATTAGGCAACTTCCAAGAAGCAGAATTCCCTACTACCTAGTTACAGATGAATCACTAAACGTAAAGGAGAGTGTAAATATTCTGCACTACAGAGTATAAATATTCTGACATCAGGTACAAATATGGGAAGCACACATTTTCCTCAAAGCCTTCAGCTACTCACTTACAATTTTTATATGGAAAGTTAATTGTGCTGGATCTTAAAAAGCCAGTCTGGGAGTGCATACAGTCAGTTAAAAGGTCCCCAAGCAACACTGAGAGGCTGTGTTCAGAGGCACCTGTGGGTGTGTCTCAAAACATTTAATACTGAGATTCCTACTCAAATAGGCAAAATGTAAATGTGGTGTCTGTTAATATTCAAAGTGTAGATTGTCTACCTTCTCTAAGGTTTCACTGCACTGCCATTAAACTAACACATTTAGCATACCTCAGAGGTCTCTGGGTAGCTAGTCTCCAGGGCCCTTGGCGGCCAACAAAGGGTTAGCTAACTTAGAATTGGCAGGCCTGGCAGATAAGTGAACAGAGGTCCCTACTCTAGAGGAAGACTAAAGGTCAAACGCCCAAGCCCCTGTGATCCTTAAGCATTCACTTCCATTTAGTGCTTCCTGAAGAAAGTAAAGATGGCCATAATCTGAGATTAGACGGAGCAAACATAGGCGTGGCCTAGGTATGAGTCCACCTGACCAAGGTTTGAAGGGCATCCCCAAACCTATGGAAGGGTTGGAAGACAGCACTCCTGATTATCCTAAGTCCAGCCAAAAGAACAAGGCCCTTAACACAGGCCCTGCTCCTGGCCCTTGGCCCTTGGCCTTGCTCCAGACCACCGTTCTCCTCGGCCCACTTCGGAGTCATCACATCACATCTTGGACCCTGCAGCGAGCAGCTGTGTGGCCACACGCCCGGGACCGAGCTTCGGGCTGGCTGGGCTGTAAACCTTGGAATGCAGCACTTCCTGGTTGGCCGGGGATGCTGGTGCCATCGCGACCGCCATCCCTGTCACACCACAGCACCCCCGAACTGACGGCGCTCCAGAGGACCTCAGACACAGACTCGCTCACTGGGGAGGCCGGGATGCATTCCTCAGTGGAGCCCCCACATCCGCCTGGAGCAGCGCAGTCCTGCGCCCCAGGCAGCCGCCCGCCCCTTCGGCAAAAGCGCGCGCCGAAGCGGCCAGCGCGGGCTCCACGGGAATGGAGCCCCCGCGGGCCGCCCGGAGTTCGCCGCCGATGCAGCTGCTCAGATCCGGTCAGAGTCGGGCTGGGAGCGGCCAGCTGCTCGGGGCCGGACGGAGGAGGGACGGAGGCCCAGGCCGCGGAATCGCGCTCCCACGGGAGCGCACAGCCCCGCGCGGTTCCTACCTGCGGCCGAGGGGCGCAGTCACCTGCACGGTCGTGGCAGCGGACTCCCGGGACTGCGCGCCCGCCGCGGGCCGGGCCAGAGGCTCAGGAGGTTGAGGGAGGCCTGCGGGGCCGCCGCCCGGAACTCGCCCGGCTGCGCAGGGGTGGGGCGAGGCGGCGCCGGGTCCGGCTGGTGGCGGCGGCGGGCAGAGGACTCCGCGCAGCTCGGCCTCTGCGTCTGTGCCGTTCCGGGGTGCCCGGTCTCGCTTCTCTCAGTTTCCTAACTCAGCCACAGCAACGCGGGGAATGCTCCCTGGTGTTACTGCCCTTATGAAGTGCCCAAGCTCAGTGCTGAGGGCTCTGCCCATAACCATCTGTCGGGGCTGGTTGTCACGACTTGACGTATCTTATAAGCAAGGACACAGTGAATCAGAGGGTGAAATACCTGGCCCCAGGTAGCATACTGAACTAGGAGCCTCGATGATGTTATCTTTGAGCCCTATTCCCTAGGGTAGGCGTTATCGCCAATCTATGCGTGAGCAAACTGAGGCTCGGAATACTGAAGTAACCAGCCCAAAGTCACCCAGCTGAGATAGCAGGAGATGGGAATTTGTGCCTGATGTCTCTAAAAATCTTAGAATGAAATAATAAATTAAGAGTAATTCCCAATTCTATTTCTCCAAATGGAAAAGTACCCATTCCACCCCTAGCACTTTCCAAACAATTTGGCCATTTTTAGCCTACTTCGTACAGTCATAAGAAAAAGAGAACCAGTTGTCATGTGGCTTGAACAGCCACCCTTTTGGAATGGGGTTTTGAATATAGGCCATTTCTAACCTCATTACGCAATGTCGCGTCCCACCAAAGCAGGGGGGAACGATGCCACCACCCCCCGGCCCCGCCATACACCCAGCTTCCAATAATGCAGGGCACTTTAAAGCCTTGAGTGCCTGTTACACAGCCCAGATTGGCCAAGGAGTTACATAACGTCTTACTGCACACAAGACACTGCATGAAATGAAAAATATAACATTTCAGCCCCAAAACGGGAAAGGGGGTGAAATTATAGTCTGGAACTCCGTTTTCCTGTAACCTATAGTTCTTGGCCCTCCCTAGACTGCATTTTTCTCTCTTGAGTACATCTTTTCTTAATGATGGAAGAGTCACACAGCCATCACTCTTTCCCTGTTGACAGAAATAATTTATGTCTTCTGAATCCTATGATACTAGCGGGTTTTTACAATTAAACACGTGGCCCTCTGCGCAAACAGAGTATTGCCTAAGAGGAGTTTGCCAAGATTACCACAAGGATGTTACTGAAAGCCTAAATACCCTCTTCCCTTCTTTCTCAAGTATTATTAGTCACAGATGATTTGATAAGTATTATGCACTCAAGTAACTGCACTCTTACAACTTGAAAATGTGATCCATCTAACTCATGTTTTAATCAACCTTTCTTAAATAATTAATACTACTAATCACTATTTTTCATGCTACTGATTATTTGCATCATTTACAGAGAATGATCTATACATATCCATTGCTTGTTTTTGCCCATTACTATTCTCATTCATTTCTAACAATGTTTTCAGTAGGAATGGCACTGCAGAACTTCTACGCAATTGTCTATAAGATATACATACCACGTTACTCCCCAAGATTGTCTCTCCAGGTAACTTTTACATCTGACATTCAGATCATCCAGCTCATTTGGGGATGCTTCCACCTACCATCTTTTGTGGAAGTTCCCTTTTCTTATAGAGAATTACCTCTTCCTTAATGGGCATTGTCCTGGCAAGAGGACAGTTTCCAGCAGCAACCCCCTAGAAATAGTGGACCCACCTCGAAGAATGAGGGAGCTAAGGATGCTGGAGGTTGGGCTCACTGAGTAGAGGCAGTAGCAGTGCCAGCAGCAGCCTCACCCTCACCCGGGTGACCAGTCAGAGGCTATTTCCTACTTCCTGGTTTGATTTCAACTTCTTGGCACCTCTTGGGTCCTGCTGTTCCCCCACTTTGTGTCAATTCTACGTACCTATGGTAGCCCTTTTTCCTTCAGGTACTGAGAATCTGCATTCATTGCTTGTGTCCAGAAACTTTCACTAACATAGTCTTTGTCACTCTTGAATCTGCCTACCAGATTAACAGTCATTAATTTTATTCATTCATTTACAAACATTTAATGGCTGATATGAAGTTAATTGATCAGTGCACACGTTAGTGGAAAGACACAAGATATTTTATCCTCAATCATCCTGTGATATAAATCACTTTAGCCACCATAACAGTGACAGAATGAAAGTTGAGTACAGTGTAGTTAGGTTCAATTAAAAAAGAAAGAAAGTAAGAATGAAAGAAAGAAAGAAAGAAAGAAAGAAAGAAAGAAAGAAAGAAAGAAAAGAAAAGAAAGGAAGAAAGAAAGAAAAGAAGGAACATTTTCAGTGGACAAGAGGAAAAAATCTCAAGACAGAATGAGGAACAGAGCAAATATTGCCAGTGGGTATAGGGATATCATGTCTCCACATCCTTTTTTCTTCTTGGGAGCTATTCATGTATTTCATAATTTGTTCCACTAACAGTCAGTTTGTGGGCTGTCTACCATGTGACACATGATGCCTATTGCCCCAATTTCAATACCAAGAAGCCTTCTCAGCCACCCATAACCAGTCCCTGTGAAACCTTTTTCATATCCAACAGGCCCAAAGGAATCCAATTCCTTATATCGAATGACTTAGACTTTAAATGTCTGTGTTTTCAATGCATGCATACTTTTTTTAGTTTTTAGTTTTTATTAGTACATGTTTTCAGTACATAATGATCATATTCCTTATGGGGAGTTGGTACACATACATAACTCATCTTTTTTTCATTCTCTTCCCTCTCCCCTCTCTCTATTTCTTGGTCTCCTTTTCTTTTGCAAAAGATGTATCTCCCTAGTTCCTATTATCTTTTATTTTGATCTTTATTTATATTTTGGGTTTCTCATGTAAGAAAAAAAACAATATTTAAGGTTGTGTGTCTGATTTATTTCACTTAATATCATGGTCTCAAGGTCCATTCATTTTCTTACAGATTACTCCAATTTAACCTTCTTTATGACAGAGTAGTATTCCATTGTATATAAATACCATATTTTCATTTATAATGATCCATTCATCTGCTGATGGACACATAACACTGCTTCCAAGTTTTAGCTATTATGAGTTGTATTGCTATAAATATGGGTATGTGTGCATCACTGTAATATGATATATTTACCTCTTTTAGAAATATACCCAGAAGGGGACTACCTGAGTCAAATGGAACTTCTAGCTTTAGTTTTTGAGGAGTCTTCATACTGGTTGTACTGGTTGTACTGGTTTATATTCCCACCAAAACTATAGAAAGTTTCCTCCCCGCCCCCCTTGCCTGGCAGCCTCTCCAGCATTTGTTATCATCTGATTTTTTGATGATGATTTTGATGACCATTTAATATGATGTTGGCAGTAGATTTGTCATAAATGAGTTTTATCAGGATGGGATAAGCTTCTTCTATTTCTATTTTCTTCAGGGTTTTTATCACAAATTGTTGGTAGACTTTTATCAAAGGCTTTTTCTGCATCTATTGGAATGATCATGTGATTTTTGTTCTTGTTTCTACTTATGGGATAAATTACATTTATTGATGTGTTTATGTTAAGCCATCCTTACATCTTTGCAATGAAGCCGCTTGGTCATGATATATGATCTTTTTGATGACTTGTTGCATTCTGTTTGTATCTTATTGAGGATTTTTCTGTGTATATTTATTAAGAGTTGGCCTGTAGGTTTCTTTTTTGACTGGATCCTTGTCTGGTTTTGGAATCAAAGTAATTGTAGCTTCCAGGAATGACTTTGGGGGTACTCCTTCCCTTTCAATTTGATTGAAGAGTTTGAAGAGTATTGGCATTAGAACTTCCCTAAAGTTCTTGTAGAATTCACCAGTGAATCCTTTGGAACCTAGGCTTTTCTTGTTTTTTATTATTGCTTTGATTTTATTGCCTGTTACTGTATTATTTAGGGTTTTTAAATATTCTTAGTTCAGTTTTGGTGATTCATACATATGTAGGAATCTATCCATTTCCTCTGAATTCTCAAATTTACTGGAGTATAAGTTTTTTAAGTAATTGCTAATAATCTTCTGGATTTTGGAAGTGTCCATTGTGGTTTCACCTTTTTCATTTGTAATTGCATTGATTTGTGTCTTTAATTTTCCCATTTGTAAGATTGGCTAAGAATTTGCCTATTTTGTATATTCTTTCAAAGAACCAGCTCTTCTATTCATTGATTGATTGTATTGTTTTTAGTCTCAATTTCATTAATTTCTGCTCTAGTTTTTCTCTCCCTGTACTAGCTTTGGATTTGGATTGCTCTTGTTTTCTAGGACCCTGTGATACATCATTAGGTTATTTGAGCTCATTCTGCTTTTCTGATGTAGGCATTCACAGGTATAAATTTCCCTCTTCCCACAATGTTTTCACTGTGTCCCATAAGTTCTGATATGTTGTGCAGAACTTATTGTTTGATTCTAAAAACTAATTTCCCCCTCAAATTCTTCTGTGATCCATTGATTATTCGAAAGTGTATTGTCTAATCTCCATATGTTTTCATAATTTCTGTAGTTTCTTTTGCCACTCATTTCTAGTTTCATTGCACTATGATCAGATAATATGCATGGGATAGTTTCAATTCTTTTGCATTTACTTAAGCATGCTGTATTGGCTAGTATATGGCCTTTTGGGGATAAAACTCCATGTGCTGCTGAGAAGAATGTATATCCTCTTGTTAGTGATGGAACACTCTATAGATAGCTACTAAAGCCATTTGTTGGAAAGTTTAGTTCAACTCTGACATTTTGTTGTTAATTTCTTATCTAGTTGATCTATTTGTGACAGTGGAGTACTGAGGTCCTCCATTTTAATTGTATTAATGTTTACCTGATCTTTTATGTCCAGTAGTGCTTGTTCTATGAAGATGGGAGCAACAATGTTAGGTGCATATATGTTCATAACTGTTCTCTCTTTCTGTATAATTGTTACCTTAACTAATACGTCATGACCTTCTTTGCCTCTTCTGATCAATTTTGGCTTGAAGTCCACTTTGTCTGAAAATAGGATAGTTACTCCTGCTTGTTTTGAAGTTCCTGTTGCATTGAATATTGTTTTCTATGCCTTGATTTTTTTTTAG